GAATGGTGTATCACACTGTGGTTTGTGTCGGTCAAGACATTAGCGAGTTTTTACAACTCGCATGTCAAGTCGTCGTTTGTGTGTCGCATGTGTTTTTTCTATTTTGTCGAGTGTGAAGTGTCCATCGTGTCGCAGGTGTGTGCAGCAAGCCCCTATCAACTCAAGAAGATTTTTTCTTGCAGATCCAAGAACAAGAGCTCAAGATTTCAAGCCCAAGGGACGCGGATAAATATTAAATAGTGAAAATAGTAACGTTACTTCGTGTAGTGTTACATTTCACTTGGTGTAGCCCCTTGGAGGGTTGGTTTCGAGACTCTTCATGGTTGGGGAATCTGTGGTGGTGTACCACCAACCTGGACCTCGGCTCTTGGGGTATGTAGAGGCTGGGAACTATCTCCCTCTCGAACTCTTCTTGCTAAGTTTTGTAATTCCTAGACTATAGTGGCTCCTATACCTCCTGCAGTCAAACCGCCATAGCGTCGTCAAATCTTCATGGAATTTCATGATTCAACTTGCTGCTGATAAACGACAGCCACGCGCTCCAGATCCAACTGACAGATCACCGTTTAGGTCAGCGACCAGATCGTTATCAATATTTGAAGCCGTCTGACGGAAATCCGACTCTGCTCTCTATCTCTCATTATAGGCACATCTAAGCCTATTGTGATCATAACAAGTGGTATCAGAGCCCCTTGGAGCCGTCTCGACCATGCCTAGACCTGAGGAAGGGGGTGGCAGAGGTGCTGGAGGCAGAGAAGACGCCCAAGCACAAGGTCAACACCAAGATCCACGCGTTGCTCCGGTGCAACCTAGCCTTGGACCCTCTAGGGATGAGCCTAGAGTGTTTGGCCTTGACAAGTTCAACGGTGACAACTTTGCTGAGTGGTCCTTCAAGATGGAGAACATCTTTGACCACTATGATCTGCTGGAGGTGATGGAAGGAACGGAGAAGCGCCCCGAGAACGACCCAGAGAAGAGCCCGTGGGTGCGGAAGAGCGCACAAGGCTATCTTCTACTTGGGCAAGCGTTGGGGAGCAGCCAAATCCGTCACATCAAGCCTTTTCAGCGTGAACCAGCAAAGGGACCAAAGGCATAGGCTGCTCTCAAGGGTGTACACGCTCCTGCAACAGCGGCGGTGGCTGTGGTTTTGTAGCGGCAAATGGCGGCACTTCGAATTGACGAAGGCGAACCGGTGGAGGAAGGAGTGCAGAAATTCTTCGACTTGTTGACACGGCTCGAAGGAGCTGACCTGAACTACAGTGACCTTCAAAAGAAGACCAAGCTGCTGGCCTTACTTCCGGACTCATGGTGCTCGCTCATCATCAACCTTAATCGAGATCTGCCCCGTCTCTCACTCGAAGATGTGAAGCGGGAAATCTTACAAGAAGATTTCCGCCGTCGCGAATTGGCGGGTCCCGATGGTGCCGGAGTTGCAAGCATGGGCCGTGGGCACGGCCGTGGAAGGGGCAGAGGGCGAGGAGAAAAATTTGGCAGCAGTAACTTCAATGGAGGCCGTGGTAATGGAGGATATGGCAGCAACAACAACAACAATGGCTACGGGCGTGGGCGCGGTCGATTTGATGGCGAATGCCACTTTTGCCACAAGACCGGTCACATGTGGAGAGATTGCTTCAGATTGCCTGATGGTTGGACCCCTTCTCAAGGCCAAGAGGGCAGAAGAGCAAGGGGAGGAAGAGGCAGAGGTCGTGGAGGCCGTGGTGGTCGTGGAAGCGAAGCGGCAAGCATGAAAGGTGGAGACTACGACAAGGACTCGAGTGAAGATCGATACCCGTGCCAATTCTTATTTGTCTCCACGCAAGCGGCAGCTGCAGCAGGAGGTGTGGAAGGCGTTGAGGAGCCAGCTACTGTGGGAAGGTCACCCTTCACTCTCTGGACTTTTGGGTGATCGATAGCGGCGCCACCTACAGCATGACACCTCGTGCGGACTTGCTCACCGAACTCGAACCGTCGCCGGTCAAGCATGTTACATCGGCTTTGGGGCAGCGAGCAGAGGTGAAAGGCATGGGCAAGGCCATGTTCAAGGGTGCTGATGGGAAGATGGTGGGCCTCAAGAACGTGCTTTTGGTGCCCAACCTAGCAGCCAACCTCATTTCCGTTCGGCGTTTGCAGAAGGCCGGCATGGACACATCTTCCAAGGGATCCAAAACCTATACCGCAAGGCTTGGTGAGCGGAAGCTTTGGGACCTTCATGAGGACAGGGACATCTACAATGAGAGGCAAGTGGCAGCAAGCGTCAGCACCAAGAGTGAAGCGGTTGGTGGCGGTGATCACGGAAAGCAAAGCGACACCAAGAGTGACTCAAAGGAGTGCAACCTTGGAGAGACCAGCAAGGCGTGTGAACCCAAGGAGAATGGTGCAGCAGCCAAAGGTGGTGGAAATGAGGAGGAGAAGGCTAAGATCAACAAAGCAGCAGCGGCGAAGGAGAAAGGAGAGAGCTTGTGGGGCACAATTGCAAGTGCCGCTTTCTCCAACCCGACTTCCGCTACGGGAGAGTGTGATTGGCTGACCTTGCATCAGCGAATGGGGCATGTGGCATTGCCCATTTTGCAGCAGATTGTTAAGCAAGAGATGGTCAATGGGATACGTGTCAAGGGGGAGCCCAATGAGGTGCTTGGCTGTCCAACATGCATGCAAGCCAAGTTCACCCGCTACCCGTTCCATAGCTCGGAGACAACGGCGAAGGCACCACTTGATGAGGTGGTGATGGATGTGGTGGGCCCCTTGAAGCTTGGAGCTGCTGGAGCAGAGTACTTCCTCACCATTGTGGACGTCTACACTCGCATGACTTGGGTGTATGTGCTGCCCAAGAAGAGTGACGTAGCTGAAACGGTGAAGACCGATTGGTTGCCGATGGTGGAGCGGCAACAAGACCGACTTGTGAAGGCGATTCGCACTGACCGTGGGGGAGAGTTCCTGAGCAAGGATTTCTCAACTTGGCTGAAGAAGCAGGGCATAAGGCACTCTCTTACCATGCCCTACTCTCCTGCAATGAACGGCATCGCCGAGCGTGCGAATCGGACACTCACGGAGACGGCTCGGGGACTTCTCATTGAAGCCGGTCTACCCAATTACTTTTGGCCGGATGCGGTGCGGCATGCTTGTGTGGCCAAGAACAGAGCCTTGACTCATGTGGGAGAAGACAAATGGGTGCCCTATGTGGAGTGGATTGGAAGGAAGCCGAAGGTGGATATGCTTCGGGTGTTCGGGTGCATGTGCATGGCACTTGTGCCTAAGAAACTTCGGCACAACAAGCTTGATGCCAAGGCAACATGGGCCGTGCACCTGGGCATGGCCCAAAACAGCAAGGGATGGCTTCTATGGGACCCATTTACCAAGAAGTTCCTGGTGAGCAGAGATTGCAAGTTCATGGAGAACTTACCGTACAAGGAGTGGAAGGCGGAGAACCAAGCGAAGATTGGTGTGCGGCTTGGAGAGGTGAAGAGGACCGGCTTGGAGCATGTGGAGCTGCCCTTGGAGCTGAGTAGCAGCAGCACAATCACGAGGCAATCTCCCCAAACGAATGGGGATGAGGAGGAGGAGGAGGTGCAGCAAGGTAATGAGCATGCACCGCCACTTCCGCCTCGTGCTACAAGTGCTCGCGGGAACCGACCAGACTTACCGCAAAGCCATGAGAGCATTCAAGTCCCTGCAGCAGAGGAGGAAGGAAGGGGGAGAAGGAGGACTCAGCCCCTCAATAGGTTGAGCTATGAACGGCTTGGAGGACCAGCCAACTCAACCTTGACCGGTTCGGCTCTCATGCTAGGTGATGATGCGGAAGATGAAAGCGAGGAGTGCGCCTTTGCCTTCTTCTCTCCGGTGGAGATACCGGGGGAGCCTACAAATCCCAAGGAGGCTTGGGAGGGCCCCAATGGGAAGGAGTGGAAGAAGGCCTCAGATGAAGAAATGGGGAGCATCATCGAGAACGACACGTTTGACTTGGTGAACCTACCTCCGGGGCATAAGGCGATTTCTTCCAAGTGGCTCTTCAAGCGCAAGACCGACGCCGACGGCAACATTGAGCGCTACAAGAGCAGACTTGTAGCTAAGGGGTACCAGCAGCAGGAGAAGAAGGACTACAATGAAGTGTATGCTCCTGTGGTGAAGGGTACAACCCTTCGAACTCTCTTCGCCGCGGCGGCCATCAAAGGATGGGTGGTGAAGCAAATGGACATTGTAACGGCCTTCCGCAACGGCGTTTTGGAGGAAGAGACCTACATGGAGCAGCCAGAGGGGTACAATGATGGGAGTGGCAGAGTGTGGAAGCTGAAGAAAGCACTCTATGGCCTCAAGCAAGCCCCTAGGCAATGGTACATCAAGCTGCGGGAAGTCTTGGAGGCGATCGGCTTCACTCCCTCAACGGCCGATCAATCCTTGTTCATGCTTGGCGAGGGGGAGCAGAGGAGCTTCATGGTGGTTTATGTGGATGACATCCTCATATTCTCACCTTCCTCTGACCTTGTGAAGGAGGTGATGCTGAAGCTTCAAGACAAGTTCAAGTGCAAGACCCTTGGTGACGTCAACTACTATCTTGGGCTTCACATTGAGCGAGATGTGGAGAAGCGTTGGATGCGAGTGCATCAAAAGAAGTACTTGGAGGCCTTGGCTGCAAACTTTGGGAAGAGTGAAGGTCATGTGGCTACTCCTCTTCCCTCAGGGTTCAAGTGTGTGAAAGGACCAGCGGAGGAAAGTGTTGGTGAAGAGGAGAGGCGCCGTTTTCACTCCTTGGTGGGCAGCCTTATGTATGCGGCCGTTCACACAAGGCCGGATGCAGCCTTTGCTACTGGGCAGCTGGATAGGGTTGTCCAATGCCCTAATGAGGAGCAGGTAGCAGCTGGAGAGAGGGTGGCCAAGTACCTTGGCCAAACAGCAACTGTTGGACTGCAATACTCCGCGGCGGCACAAAGGCGTCAAAAGGGTGCGGATGGAGTCGAACCCGGGAGGCTCTTTCTCACCGCCTTCTCTGATGCATCTTGGGCATCAGAACCAGAGGACATGACAAGTGTGGGAGGCTTCATCTGCTGTGTTGGTGGAGGGCCAACAGCTTGGGAGAGCAAGAAACAAGTGGACCAAGCATTGAGCTCGGTGGAGTCCGAGTACATGGCACTCTTCCGTGCCATAAGAGAGGTTGTGTGGCAGCGGCGTTTGCTAGCTCAATTGGGGGAGGAGCAGCAAGGACCTACCCCACTCTACTGTGATAGCCAGGGTGCTATTGCATTGGCTAAGAACCCCGTTCTTCATGGCCTTACCAAGCACATGAAGGTGAAGTGGCATTGGGTGAGGAGCATGGTAACCTCGGGTGAAGTGGAGTTGCACTACGTGAAGACGACGGCGCAGCCTGCTGATATGATGACCAAGAGGCTGGTTGAGCAGCAGCATTGGAAGTGTTGCAAGCTTGCTGGAATGGCTCTGAACTAAGGGGAGCAGATTCTAAGGCCCACAATCCGAGGGGGAGTTTGTTGGTGCAACCCTATGGCTTGCACTCGGCTTGTCGTCCTTGTTTGTGTGTGTGCATGCATGGCATGGAATGAATTGTGAGTCTATGTCATTGCTATCCAGTGCTTGATTGTGTATTTGAATGGTGTATCACAGTGTGGTTTGTGTCGGTCAAGACATTAGCGAGTTTCTACAACTCGCATGTCAAGTCGTTGTTTGTATGTCGCATGTGTTTTTTCTGTTTTGTCGAGTGTGAAGTGTCCATCGTGTCGCAGGTGTGTGCAGCAAGCCCCCATCAACTCAAGAAGAATTTATCTTGCAGATCCAAGAACAAGAGCTCAGGATTTCAAGCCCAAGGGACGCGGATAAATATTAAATAGTGAAAATAGTAACGTTACTTCGTGTAGTGTTACATTTCACTTGGTGTAGCCCCTTGGAGGGTTGGTTTCGAGACTCTTCATGGTTGGGGAATGTGTGGTGGTGTACCACCAACCTGGACCTCGGCTCTTGGGGTATGTAGAGGCTGGGAACTATCTCCCTCTCGAACTCTTCTTGCTAAGTTTTGTAATTCCAAGACTATAGTGGCTGCTATACCTCCTGCCAGTCAAGCCGCCATAGCGTCGTCAAATCTTCATGGAATTTCATGATTCAACTTGCTGCTGATAGATGACACCCACGCGCTCCATATCCAACTTACAGATCACCGTTTCGGTAACAGACCAGATCGTTATCAATATTTGAAGCCGTCTGACGGAAATCTGACTGTGCTCTCAATCTCTCATTATAGGCACATCTAAGCCTATTGTGATCATAACAGGTGCGAGTTGTTTGTCACCCCCCCGCATGGCGTGCGAGTGGTTTGCCACCCCCCAGAGTGGAGTGCGAATGGTTTGCCACCCCCCAAGAGTGACGAGCAAGTGGTTTGCCACCCCCCGAGAGAGGCGTGCAAGTGGTTAGCCACCCCCCGAGTGTGGCATTAGAGTGATTTGCCACCCCCCAAAGTGGCGTGCAAGTGGTTTGGCTCACCTTGAGAGTGGCGTGCTATTGGTTTGCCACCCTCGAAAATGGGGTGCGAGTTGTATGCCACCCCCTCGAGTGTGGCGTGCGAGAGGTTTGCCACCCCCGAGAGTGGCGTGCGAGTGGTTTGCCACCAAAGTGTCGTGCGAGTGGTTTGCCATCCACTGAGAATGATGTGCGACTGGTTTGCCGCACCCGAAAGTGGGGTGCAAATGGTTTGTCTCCCCGCCGTGCGAGTGGTTTCCCACCCTCCACTGTGACGGGCGAGTGGTTTGGCACCCTTCGAGAGTGGAGTGCGAGTGTTTTGCCATGCCCCAGAGTGGTTTGCGAATAGTTTGCCACCCCCCAGGGTTGCGTGCTAGTGGTTTGCCAACACCCGAGAGTGGCGTGTGAGTTGTTTGCCACCCCGCGAGACTGGCGTGCGAATGGTTTTCCCCCCACCAGAGTGGCTTGGGAGTGGTTCGCCACCCCCCCGAGTGGCGTGCGAGTGGCTTGCCACCCCTCGAGGGTGGCGTGCGAGTTATTTGCCACCCCTCAGAGTGACGTGCGTATGGGTTGCCACCTTCCGAGAGTGGCGTGCGAGTGGTTTGCCACCCGTCTGTGTGACGTGCCAGTGGTTTGCCACCCCTCCAGAGGGGAGTGCGAGTGGTTTGTCACCCCCCAAAGTGGTAGGCGAGTGGTTTGCCACACCCCAAGATGGCATGTGAATGGTTTGTCACCCCCTGAGAGTAAAGTGCGAGTGGTTTGCCACCCCCCTAGAGTGGCGTGCGACTGGATTGCCACCCCCCGGGGTCGAATGCGAGATGCTTGCCAACCCTCGTAGTGGCGTGGGAGTGGTTTGCCACGCACTGAGAGTGGCATGCAAATGGTTAGCCACACCCCTGAGTGGCGTGCGAGTGGTTTGCCACCCCCAAGGTGGCGTGCATGTGGATTGCCACCCCCCGAGAATAGCGGGCGAATGGTTTGCCACCCCTCGAGTGTGGCGTGCGTTAGCTTTTCCACCCATCGAGAGTAGCATACGAGTGGTTTGCCACCCCCCAAAGTGGCGTGCGAGTGGTTTGCCACCCCATGAGAGTGGAGTGCGAGTGGTTTGCCACCCCCCCAGAGTGGTGTGCGAGTGGCTTGCCACCCCCCAAATTGGCGTGCGATTTGTTTGCCAGCCACTGAGAGTAGCGTGCGAATGGTTTGCCACCTCCCCGTATTGCGTGCGAATGGTTTGCCACCCCCTGGGGGTGGCGTGCGAGTGATTTGCCACCCCCCGTTGTGACATGCGAGTGGTTTTGCCCCCACTCGAGAGTGGCGTGCGAATGGTTTGCCACCCCGCGAGAGTGGAGCGGAGTGGTTTGCCACCCCCCATAGTGGCATTTGAGTGGTTCGCCACACTCGAAGTGTGGCATGCGTGTGGTTTGCCACCCACCAGGGTGGCATGCGAGTGGTTTGCCACAATCCCGAGAGAGGCATAAGGTTGGCTTGCCACCCTTTGAGAGTGGCGTGCGAGTATTTTGCCACCCCCTCAAGTGGCGTGCGAGTGGTTTGCCACCCCCCAGAGTGGTGTGCGAGTGGTTTGCTACCCCCCTAGACTGGCGTGTGAGTGGTTTGCCATCCACCGAGAGTGGCGTGCGAATGGTTTGCCCCCCCCCCCCAAGTGCCTTGGGAGTGGTTTGCCACCCCTCGAGTGTGGCGTGCGAGAGGATTGCCATCTCCTGAGAGTGGAGTATGAGTGGTTTGCCACCCCCCAAGGTGGCGTGCAAGTGGTTTGCAATACCTTGAGAGTGGCGTGCTATTGGTTTGCTACCCCTGAAAGTGGTGTGCGAGTTGTTTGTCACCCCGCAAGAGTGGTGTGCGAGGGGTTTGCCACCCTCCGAGAGTGGTGTGGGATTTTTTTGCCCCTTCTAAAGTGGTGTGCGAATGTTCGGCCACCCCCTAAGAGTGGCGTCCCACTCCCACACATGGGGTGCAAGTAGTTTGTCACCCCCCGCATGGCGTGCGATTGGTTTGCCACCCTCCAATAGTGGCGTGCGTGTGGTTTGCCAATCCCCGAGAGTGGCTTAGGAGTGGTTTTGCCACCCCCTGAGAGGCATGTGAGTTGTTTGCCACCCCCCAAGAGTGGCGTGTAAGTGGTTTGGCGTCCCTTCGAAAGTGGTGTGCAAATGGTTTGCCACCGTCCGAGAGTGGAGTGTGAGTGCTTAACCACCCCCCCGAGTGGCATGCGAGTGGTTTGCCACCCCCCAGAGTGGCATGCGACTGGTTCTCCACCCCCCAAGAGTGGCGTGCAAGTGGTTTGCCACCCTCCTAGAGTGGCGTGCGAGTGGTTTGCCACCCCCCAGAGTGGAGTGCGATTGGTTTGCCACACCTCGAGTGTGATGTGCGAGAGGTATGCCACCCCCCGAGAGTGGTGTGCGAGTCGTTTGCCCCCCCCTGAGAGTGGCGTGCGATGGGATTGCCACCCCCCAGAGTGGTGTGCGAGTGGTTTGCCACCCCTCGAGAGTGGAGTGCGAGTGGTTCGCCACCCCTCGAGTATGATGTGCAAGAGGTTTGCCACACCTTGAGAGTGGCGTGCGATGGGTTTGCCACCCCCCCGAGTGCCGTGCGAGTGGTTTGCCACCCCTTGAGAGTGGCGTGCCAGTGGTTTTCCACCCCCCCAGAGTTGCGTGCGAGTTGTTTGCCACCCCTCGAGAGTGGAGTGCGACTAGTTTGCCACCCCCCTGAGTGGCGTGCGAGTGGTTTACAACCCCCCAAGAGTGGAGTGTAAGTGGTTTGCCACCCCTCAGAGTGGCATGCGAGTGGTTTTCCACCCCCCAAAGTGGAGTGCGAGTGGTTTGCTATCCCCCGAAAGGGCATGTGAGTGGTTTGCCACCCCCCCCGAGTGGCGTGCGATTGGTTTGCCACCCCTTGGAAGTGGCGTGCGAGTAATTTGCCACCCCTCGAGAGTGGCGTGCGAATGGTTTGCCACCCCGCAAGAGTGGAGCGCAGATGGTTTGCCACCCCCCAGAGTGGCCTGCGAGTGGTTTGCCACCCCCCAAGAGTGGCGTGCGAGTGGTTTGCCACCCCTCAGTGTGACGTGCGAGTGGTTTGCCACCTCTCGAGAGTGGAGTGCGAGTGTTTTGCCACCCCCCAGAGTGGCGTGCGAGTGGTTTGCACCCCCCCAGAGTGGAGTGCGAGTGGTTTGCCACCCCTTGGGAGTGGCGTGCGAGTGATTTGCCATCCCACAAGAGTGGAGTGTGAGTAGTTTGCCACCCCCCAAGGTTATTTGCGAGTGGTTTGGCACCCCACGAGAGAGGCATGCTAGTGGTTTGCCACCGCCCAAAGTGGTGTGCAAGTGGTTTGCCACCCCTCGATAATGGAGTGTGAATGGTTTTCCACCCCCCAAGACTGGCGTCCGAGTGGTTTGCCACCCCCCGAAGTGGAGTGCGAGTGGTTTGCCACCTCCCAATTTGGCGTACGAGTGGTTTGTCACCCACTGAAAGTGGCATACGAATGATTTGCCACCCCCCTGAGTGGCTTGGGAGTGGTTTGCCACCCCCCGAGAGTGGAGTGCAAGTGGTTGTCCACCACTCAGAGAGGCGTGCGAGTAGTTTGCCACCCCCCAAGAGTGGCGTGCGTTTGGTTTGCCACCCCGCGAGAGTGGCGTGTGAGTGGTTTGCCACCCCATCGAGTGGCGTGCAAGATGTTTGCCACCCCCTAGGAGTAACATGCGAGTGATTTGCCACCCCCCAGTCTTTTGTTCGAGTGGTTTGCCACCCCTCGAGAGTGGCGTGCGGATGGTTTGCCACCCCGCGAGAGTGGAGTACGAGTTGTTTCCCACCCCCCAGGGTTGTGTGTGAGTGGTTTGCCAACCCTCCGAGTGGCTGGCGAGCGGTTTGCCACCCCCCGGGAGTGGCGTACGAGTGGTTTGCAACCATCCAGGGTGGCGTGCGAGTGGTTTCCCACGCCACGAGAGTGGCGTGTGAGTGGTTTGCCACCCCCGGAGAGTGGCGTGAGAATGGTTTTCTCC